ATAGTGGACCACAGTGGTGCAAATAATTAACCACAATGGTGCAAATAACGTAATAATTGCATTCTTCAATAAAAATAAATATATTAACAACAGCAATAAATAATAAAAATAATTAAAGCAAATAAATAAATCTATTTTAGAAAAAAAAGAGACGTGCAGAAAGATGATAAATAAGGAAGCATTTATTGGAAGGAGAGTACGCAGAGAAGTCATCGGGAGGGAGCGTATAAATAAAAATTTGAGGGATCGTCTAATAGTTCGATGAAAAAAAAATGTTATTGAAAGAAATTTAAAAAATGATTTTAACAAAAACTGTCGCATTTTCAGCTTAGAATCTGCCTCCACCAGAACCTAAAATCAATAAAATGTGACCTTTTAACCCAACTTAGGGATAGAATCTCTTATTGGGTTGCTCAATTCGCCGGAGCGCCGACACTGAGGCTCAACTCCCCGCAGGAGTAAACCTGTCCAAATATCCGGGTGATACTGGCGACCCATCTGTGCTTCTATCGTCAAGGACCTCCCTTGCATATTTATCCAATGTGACAAACCAGCGGAGCCGGTTTAACTAATAATGGTGAAGACTCTTAAAAAAAAACTTTCACCCCAAAGTCATTGGAATTTACGATTGCATAAATATTTAAAAAGTTAAAGTTAAATAATTCTAATCACTTTTTCAATTTCTTTCAAAAAACCTCCCCATATAAAAAAAAAACGCGTAAATCGAGTGAACGCGTTCAAGATAATTCCGCTATTCAGCCTTTTAAGAGCGAAAAAACCATGGACTACATTAATGCAAATAGTGGACTATATCGATGAAAACAATGGACTATCGGGGTTCCCAACGGAATCGATAAATACTAAACTCAACATTTATAAAACTGAAAAAGTAATGTTTTCATTCATTTGGCAACGTGAAAATCACGCAAAACATATGAAAAATCACGTAAAACATAATGAAACTGAATTGACATCTATTTTCAAATAAATACGAACCAAAAATATTTTTAAAAAATTTAAAAATATCCGATAAAAATAAATAATTGAAAAATAATAAAAAAATTAAGGGATCATATAATAAAATTCCGATAATCCAATTTTCGGGGAGCGTATAATTAAATTTAGAGGGACCATGAATAAAAAACAAATTTTAAAAGAAAGATTAATTTAATAATAAAAAATAAAATTTTTTTATTTTAAATTCGTAGAATTACGAAGGGAGAAATCGAACGAAGAAAAATTAATGATTTAAGCGAATATTATTGTTGAGAAAGAGAGAAACGGAGGTAAAGAAAAAGACAAAGAGAGGGGAGGGAAAGAGTACGAGGTCGGAGAGGAGAGGGAAAAGAAACTAAGAGAAAAAGAAACATTAGGGGAATGGACCACAATTCTGTAAAAAAAAATAATAAAAAAAATTTTATTTTAAATTAATTTTAAATTTCTACTCGCATGATAATAAAAAAATTCTCTATCGACTAATTTTAAAAGAAATTTAAAAAATTTTATAAAAAAATCTATTTTTATCGAACTTTTTTTTCTTGGAAATATCAAAGGTCAAAATTAATTAATATTAATAATTAATATTAAAGTTTAATTTATTAATAATTTATAAAAATTGATTTAAAAAAACAAAATAAATCGTGAAAATTCACTTAAAATAATCATCGATCTACTTTTGAATCGAAAGAGGATAGGAGGATAGAAAGTTTTATATGAAATCAAAAGAAAGCAAAAGGCTTTCAATGAAATATGAAAGGAAAAGGAGGAAAAAGAAAGATAAGAGTGTGGAGAGAGGAAGAAGAGCGAATGAAAAAGGAAGAGGAGGAATGAAGGAGGAATTTTTAATGAATCCAATAGAGAGAATGAAGTATTCATCATAATAAGGATTCATTAACAATAGTTTCTCGATGATGATTGATCATTTTGTTTTTTAATAAAAATAAACTGAGATAAAACCCACAGCGATCTCCTAACCGAATTAATGAAATTGCAACAAAGCCAAGGTCAAGGGTCACAGGTCGAGGGTCACAGGTCGAGGGTCATGGGTCGAGGAATAACCGTTATACAATGTGAATTATGAGAGCTATGATTGATGATGTAAAGAAAGATGAATAAAATTAGCTTTAACAGGGCAAGAAAAAAGAGAAAGAGAGAGAGAAGGAAATAGAAACGAGGAAATTCCATAGATAATTTTCTATTTCGATTTAGACTGAGATAAATCAACGAGAGACGGCAGACCGAGTGAGAAAAGTTGAATGATAATGGAAAATTGGAGAGTCATACATAAAAACAATTTTTTGCAATTGTCGCGCGAAAATTTTCATAGCAAATAATAGTTTTTCAATTATTTATGAGTTAAAATATTAATATTTACTAATATAAATATTAATAAAAATTTAAAAATTCTTCGTATTAAAAAACAATGAAAGGTTAGCAAATTATATCGAAGAATGGAGAATGGCTTCGATTAATTTCAGGTTTTGGCAACGAATCGGGTGGGGAATTCCAGGCGTTAGCATCGAATCAGGTCGGGGGACCGGCAATTTCAGGCATTAACACTGGAATGGCAGTCTTAGAGTTGGGGTTGCGCCTAGCTTGAATGACCAATAGAATCAATTAAACAATGGGGAGCGTTGGCAGATAACTAAAAAGTTGTGATAATTACGGTGGTGCAGTGCGTCGGTGGTTCAGCAAAATTACTTTAGAGAATCGATGCTTATATAAGCCTTCCGGCCCAGCCCGAGCACCGTGCTTCGTTACACGGCAATGCAGAGAATGCTGAGAAGAGCAAAATGACTCAGTGGGTTGCATCCTGTTCAGCCTGAGGAAATTATTCGGGTGATGGTGGCGATTCAATTGTCGCTAAGGTGATCAGTCCGTTGCATATTTGTTTAGGACTCCAGTACTCAATTCGAGACGCGGATATGGTGAATCTGATGGTACTTAGGAAACAAACGCATCTGGCAGGGAACCAGGCTAGTGCTGGCGACAAATTTATATTTCTAAGATTTATCTCTTCCAATAAAATGGTTAATATATCTTTCTTCTTCTATGTCTCCGTCTTCTCCTTCGTCTCTCTCATTTCCATACTATTTCCACACCAATAATTTGCTCTGTTTTCTTTATTAACTCTCTCTGAAAAAGTAATTTCTAAAATTACAGGTCGTAAGACCATAAGAACACGTGACGTAATAAATTAAAAGTGTCAACTTTTCTTTAAACAATCTTCGTCACAAAACGATGCTGAAGTACTCTTATTAAAGACACAAACTTTGCTTGCAAAACCACTTTTATCCACTAAAATGCAGCTTTCAGAATTTCGTAACATAGCAATCAAGAAATTAATTGCTCACAGCATATCACCGCATGAACGTGAGATTCTCGGAAATTGTGGAGGGGAGTGGTGAAAGGCCGTGTGGGGGAGGGGGGAAGGTCATGTGGGGGAGGGGGAAAGGTCATGTGGGGGAGGGGGAAAGGTTTGTTTTCTGATTCTTGTAGATAAAATTTTTCTCGTTTCATTTATTGTGGTGTCGTATTCTGTGATGGCTGTCGACTTATCTGCAATTCTATCGGTAAAGTATTCACTGACAAATTTCTCTTATCCGACAAGCCAGCGGAACCAGCAGCGATGGGTGCTTTTAAAAAAATCGCATTCCACTCAGGAGCATTTCTCTCAGTGCAACAATTTGTGGTACCGTGTTCAAGTGGACTGTTTCAGAACAGAGAGTATTTCACATTGCGTTATAGGATATTGCTTTTTTGTTTAGCACCGAGCGCTTGCACTGAGCGCTCGGTGTTCGGCAATTGGCAAAAATAAACTCATTTATCTCGATTTAGCGAAAACCGGATTGGAGATCCATGTGTATTTTCATCTTCAGTTGGTTCACTGGCAAAAGATCTTTTTCGAATAGCGAATAGTCCTAATAAATGGTGAATACCTTTGTGGGAACAAGAAAGCACACCACCTAATTAATGCCTTTTCTTCTTCTAATTACTAATAACACTGCTTCGAAGTTCCCTTTTACGATTTTAACGACTTCGGCCATAAAACGGAATCCACTGCTTTGAGCTATGAATAGCTTGAGTTTAATAAGCTTTAGATATTTGGTCCGAGAACTCCAACGGAGCAAACCTAATCAGAAATGGTGAACGTTGGTGGGGAAAAGACCAATCCATGAATCATTAATAATTTCATGGTACCAATATATCGATTTATTACCCATCTACAATTATCGATCAAAACGGTATTAATTCTACCGACTCGATAAGATAATTCGTGCGTACAGGGAGGGAATAAAGTGGCTGTTCTCTATTGGATTATTGCTTGTTGCTTTCGGGCAACACCGAAGCAAATACTTACGGAGATAACTATGAAGGTTATTCGAAAGATTTCCGGTGAAGTTTTTCTTTAATGGCAATTGTGAAAATTTTCGTCATCATTTCACCATTTTATTGGTACTCACTATTGGTATTCTTCCTTGAAAAGCCATATTTTTATTTATTATTAATTACATTTCAACAATAATATTTTAATAATCATAAAAAACTTTTTAAAAAAATCATTATTCTTGCGAATTGTTAGCGTTTGATGATTTCTGGAAATACACATGGACATCTGCCACCGTTGGACTTTACTTTCAGGATCAGGCAGGAACACCAACGGACAGAAATCCTTTTTTTTCTTGTTTGGTCGAATCAAAAAATCACCGGGCCTGTTCCTTAGTGGTACCTTTTAGAGAGAACAAATTTTAAATAGAGATTTTAATTAGAAAATTAATTCGCATAAACGAATGAAGGCAACGCTTTTTGACGATACAGTAGATGAGATATTAGAGCGAAGATGGATGCAATTATAGGAAATTTGAACCGGCGTGTATCCGCTTGCGGCGTAATTATACAGAAGCTAAAGTCGCTAAAGTAATTCAACAATCATCCATAAGGAAGTCATTTCTAGTTGCCGCTATCTGAACTTGAATAATAAGCCCCAGTCTAAACGTAGCTTAGATAGACTGGGTCTTCGTGTCATGCATTGCAATTAAGAGTCTTTCCAGAAAACATTCCAGAGATCTCTGGCAAGCTGCTCCTTTGTTAGCTGAAGCAATACAGCAGTTCAGGTAGTCCACATTACAGCAAGGTGAATCGACAACATACATTGGTGATCGGAGTTCATCTTTGTTTTTCATAAGTTTTCCTTCACGTTTCATTTTCGCCATTTTTAGTATTCAACAAAGTTTACTTTTTTTTTGTGATTTTTCTGATTTTTTTTATATTATCATTTAGATTATCATTTCGAAAATTATCATTTAAATATTGATAAAAATTTAAAAACAACTGCAATCAGCACAAACAAACGCAATTCTCCTAAAGCACTAAAAATAATAATAAATTTATAAAAAAATTTTTTTTCGATATTTCATAAATAATCGAATTCCTCGCAAATAATCGAATTAAATAAGTGAGAGTTAACGACAACAAATATATTATCAACAAATTAATTACCGATCAATCAAGAATTAATTAAGAGGAGACTGCAAAGTAATTTTCACGAGTTCAGAATGGTGCGCTGTGCTTTGCTGCCATTGCAAAGGACATAAAAGCCCTGCGGGCAGAGTCCAAAGTAGTCTTTCGCTTTCGCCGTTCGTGACAAAAATATTACATATTTTAATATTAATATCATATTTTCAATTTTGCAGCACCGTTCTTCTTATTCTTTTAATCAGAAAGAAATTATTTTTTTCTCAGTTTCGATGCAAATTATTTTCAATGTTTTTTTTTTAAATCTAAAAAACAAATTTTTTGGTATTTTTTTGTAAAAATATGTTCTTTTTTTATATTTATTGACGGCCAATTCAAATTGTTTTTTTTGACAAATTTCTTTCGTAGGAATAAATGAGAAATTTTCTATAGCCAATAATATGATTTTTTTTTTTAAAGAGTCCTCACCATTACTGGTTAAACTCGCTCACGGGGCTTGTCGCCAGCACCACCCGGGATTTGGTACTCCTGCGGGGAATCGAGCATCGGCGCTCCCAATTTAGCAACAACCCACTGAGCCATTCTGCGCACGACTTATTTAATATGATTTATAATCTCAATGATATGTTCAGAGGGGATTTTCGATTCAAAAATAAATAAATTATTCGATTCATTTAATAATAAAAAATTGCTGATTTGCATTTTAAAAATATAAATGGAACGTTTTAGAAATAATTTCAAAAATTTCACTCACTTCGGTTATTCGTCAACGAAGCACGTTTTGCAGCTGTTTTTCTAATTTCAAACGTTTTTAAACATTTTTCGTAAATTATTCGAAATCGGACTTTGGTAGTGATTTTTGGTAAATTATTGGTTCGAAAATGCCCATTCTGGCAAAATCTCTGCTAATAAATATAAAAAAAAGGTGCTCGTATTCTTATGTTGGTTAGTTGCATTTTGACATAACAAAGGTGAGAAGGCGAATCGAAACCTGGATTGGTACGGTTAGTGGAGAGTTTGGACGCATAAGTGGTCCATCGACTTAGGCGGTGGAAAAACGAATGGCTTCGGAAAATGCTACCGAATCGAGAGACTTGGAAACGTCTTAGTCTGATCGCGAGTGGTGTTCACGAAAACTAGCAATAATGTGAGCTATTAGAGGAAGAAAAGAAGCTAAGTGGTGGAGTGGACTAATCAAAAGGATGGCGGACCTTAAACTTCATCGAACACCTGAAGGTTGCCTTGTAATTTATTATTACTATTTATTATTATATTATTATATTTATATTTATTATTTATTATTATTTATTATTATTATAATTTATTATTTATACTTATTTATTATTATAATTTATTATTGCTTTTATTACTTTCGTCATTACCGTTACTGTTTTACTTTTACTATCGTTTTTTTCGAGTATTTTATTACTTTTACTATTTTGTCACTTTCTTGTTAAAGCCATATTTAAGTTAAACGACGGTTTCCGATTCTTTAAATTAGTAATATTTGCGTTTTTGTAATTTGTAATTTGTAATATTTGTAATACTAAATGTACTATTATATGCTTGTTTTATTATTGTATTTAAGATTTGAAAAAATTTTCCTAGTGCACAAGAAAAATTTTGTGGCCGGCCGCGGCCGCGGATCCTGTAATTTATACTGCTTACTGGATATTTCGAGTTTTTTTTGGTGAATTTGTTGTGGGGAACTACAGTTTCGCACCTACTCGATTCTTCCCCTCCTAAAATACAGTATGTCGGCTAGTTGTGGTGACATGAATAGGCCAATTTCTTTTCGCTCGATAAAATCTTATAGCAGCATCAGATATACTTCCATAATAATGGGCATTTGGGATTTGGCACCAAAATAAAAGTATCTGCCTTGGTGAACATCTGTGGTCTGCGGTGAACATAATCGCGTTGATCAACTGACAGCTACAAACTGCTTATCCTTGCTATGCTGGCTGGCCGACTGGAAATTGATGAGCATTTCGCCAGATATCAAGCTTAGTGCTGGTTGATGAATGGCGAAAACTCAGAGGCGGGCCCCAGTTAAAAACATAATAGATACTATCAAAAGGATTTTTAACGCACAGGTAATCCTGTGATATGCACTGAGACGATGGAGAGTGATTTCCATTTTTTTAAGTACAGTGTTGGGCAGGGAAACGTAGAAACTCCCTTATAGCAAGAGGAGCATTATTATGTGCGTAAGATTTTTTTTTTTGAAGAGCACTCACCATTACTGATTGGACTCATTCTGCCGGCTTGTGGGTTAGACGAATATACCGGGAAGTCCCTAGGCGATAGAAATGAAGCAAATGAGGCGTCAGCACCATCCGGATTTTTTGACAGGTTTATTCGTGTCTGGAGTAAAATTTCAGCATCGACACCTCGAATTGAGCATAACGCACCAAACCATTCTACTCTCCTTTGCTTTTCTCGCTTAGGCGACAGTTTCTGCCGTCAAAGAGTGGTACATCAGCAGGTTTCGAACCCAAGGCTACCGAAATACGGTATTAAAATAATGAAATATATATATCTTTCTTTTTTAAGTTTTATTTTTCAGTTCAAAAATGTTAAATATCGCTGATGCTGAGAAAGAATTTAATAAATTATTGGATCGAATCGAACCACGAATAATTCCACAATTTTTTACTTGGATTAATGAGAGTTTTTGTGTTTTGAATGATTTTGGTTAGTATTCTATGAGGAATTTTTCCAGCATTTTGATTTATAGTTTTCACTTATTTGTTGATTCGATAGTTCTTAGTTTTCATTTTGCCCCGTCGCCGTTTGGCGACTAAATATTAAATAAGCGACGTGTAACTCATCACATTGCCTGTATTAGATATTTTAAATTAGATTTACGCGTTAATTTTTGGATAGGGATTGAAGAATGAATTTCTCCATAGTTTTAGGAAAATGAACGTATAGTTTTTCCAGTTTTTTATTTCGTATAAATCTCATTTATTTGTTAAATCGAGTTTCTTACATTTGAATTCTCTTTAGAATTTCTCTTATAGAATAAAGATTATATTCTATTAAACTTTTTCGAAATTTTAATGCTTATTACATTTTTGATAAATAAAATTTATTAAAAATATTTGCAATGGATGATAATTTTATGTAGCATTTTGTTGTTGGCTTAATATTTTAATTTCAAAAAATCTAAAAGTTGAGAGACAATCTAAAGGACAATCTTTTATTTTAAACGATAGATTTACTAATGCCAAGCGAGAAGAATCGCATTCGTCTTTGCTTTTTTATATTATTGTGGATTATTTTAATTCAAATTTATGCGTTTTTAGATGGAAAAAAAGTGAATTTCTCAACAACTGGTTTACAAAATGAACGTCTAACAGAAGCTGATGCGATTTTATATAAAATTTCTTTGGATATTAGACATGAGGTGTAAGATTTTTTTTTTTCAACTTTATGGAAATTGATATTTTAAGTAAAAGTTTCTAAATAACTTAAATAGCTGAAAAATTCAATGAATTTGGTTTTATGATTTTCATAGTCTAAAAGAAAATCGCTAGCAATTTATCGTTGATCTTGTCCTTCAACGTAGCACCGTTGGCATTGCTTCTACTTATTTGTTTTGCTTGGTTTAGCAAAATTTCAAAAATAGAATCTTAAAATAGAATAAAGCAGATTCTCTCTTACTATTCCTGTTGCTTCTTTCGTTCTTAAATAAGTTATAAGATTTATAAGATCAGTTTGTGAGCAAAAAATTTGGTTATTCAACGTTATGACTGTTCGGATTCTGCAATTATCAATTATTTGTAATTCTTATTTGGGTTCTTAGTAAATTTTTTTTCTGTAGGAGCTATATTGGCTATAACAGTTAAAATAAAATGATCAAGCGGTGTGTTATTTCGAATGAATCTTGAACAACATATGTGGGGGATCTCTATCCTCAAGTGATTCTACAGCGAAACTGGTCTTAAACAAATAATGAATAATGAAACCAGCGAAATGAGAAATAATGTAGAATATTAAGAGGGTGGAAATTATCTTTGCATTATCATAATTATTTCGATGATTTTTTAATCTTGCAGGTTCCTCTAAATGCAGTATTGGAATCTGAGAATATATATTGGCCACAGATTGGTTTAGATTCGGACTGTGATCCTAAAACAACGGTTCGTTTTATTGCGGTTAATAATCTTATTAAGTTTGTTAGGTTTCATTTCATTTTTCGTTAATTCCATCAATTGCGATCAATTTTTAATTTTTTTTGCAAAATATTTTTTAGTTTTTCTTTATGTATTATATTTGTTTATACACTTTATATTTTTTAAATATATTTGCTTTTTCTAATTTATTTTTTGGGTTTTTTAATTTATGATTTACTGCTTTTCAGGTTCACGTCGATTCGTTTTTATATGATGATGATGCTGTTGATGATTTAGTGGATCAAGGAAAATTGAGTAGAAATTATTGCGTTCGTTGTGGCTCTTTAGATGTCAAACCTTTGATATTTTTTTCACACTCGCTTAGCCTGCTTCAAGTAATTAATAATTTTGTATTTGTTTGATATTTTGTTGCTTTCTGCTCATAAATATGCGCGAACATTAATCATTATTTTCTTTATTTAATTGTTATTTAAGTTTCTAATGATAGAATTTGTGTTAAATCGTATTTTCTCATTTTCAGTTGCGGTATATATTTACAACGTTGGTGCCTTTAAATGCGAATATGTCAGGGAAATTAATATTAGATATTGGTTCGCGACTTGGTTGTGTGTTATATGCTTCCTACTTATATAGGTTTTTTTCACCTAAAATCAATTTTCATGGTGTTTATAATTTTTCTTGCATATTATAATTGTAGATTTTTCCACTTTAAGGATTTCCATTTTCTTTATACCAGTAGAAATTCGAAATAAAAAATGTGTTTTACTTGGTATGTCATCGAGGAAAAAATGCCAACTAGGAACTCGATGTGGGTTGTCTAATTCGCGATGGACAGTCTGGTACTCTACCAGTCAGCCATCCGAGCACATGTGATACCTCTTTTTATCGCTGGAGATACCTTTGCATTCCAGAAAGAAATTTATAATTGTTAATTTCGTACTTCCTATTTAATGCTTTAAATTTTGGCTTTAAGTGATCAAATCTGGATGGGAATTTAGAACAGAAAACTGATGTAGTCAATTTTTTAAAACTTATTCCTTCAGATTCTGATTTCAGCGAAGGAAAAGTTAATACGGTTGGTGTTGAAGTAAACAAGGAATTTTGTGCTCTTCAGAATAAAATTATAGGAGAAAACAACATGGCGCACTCCATCAAGGTTTTTCATTTTTCATGTAACAATATAAACTATTAAAATTCTAAAGATTATTTTAATAATATATGTGGTAGCCCATTCCAGCTAGAAGTTTATATTCCAGTGACAGCTCAAACGCCACAGGCTATGTTACCTTGATTAAGATTGTATATTGCTAAGTTTAAAATCCCCCTTTTTCAAATTTCATGCTCATAGAAATATGATATGCAACAAATTTTTTTATCAATTAGTGAATATCTTAATTCAACGACCATGATGGGCAGTGGATAAGCCATGGTTGAGTGCGTTGTGAATCAATGATTGAATGATCGCTCGCGCAGAAGTCATTTTTTCTTTACCATCGTCTAAGCTCATATATCGCTATACCGCTTATATGTTCGAAATTTTCTACTATATCAGATCTTGATTGTTCCTTCTCGCTTATGATACAGAGTTCAGCAGGTAGGGAGATATTCTCTTTCTCTTATATGCGTCGAGAAGCATGTTTAACTAGTTTAAGTGGAATTGTTTGATGTACTTTAGCGAATGTAGGTGCAGTCATGTGAGAATATGTTCAGTCGGTAAGTACGTAAAATGCATCCTAGGTTTATGTGATCACGATAGTTTCCTCCAGTCTCATTGGCCATATTTCATAGCCATGTGGTGCACATGATATTGCATCATAGTAGATCCTTCGTTTTTGATAGTGATTTGGTAGTTTCACAATGTTTTCACGAGAAGGAAAAATTTCTAGTCGATTGTCTGAGGTCGATTTTCCTCCTTAATTTAGCCACTTGTTTCAGAAATATTTATCTAATGGTTTCTCGAAGAATAGTATTTATAAACACATTGATTTGGATTTGTTGTTCTTTATAATTGCCAGCAAAAAGGATCACATTACCATCGTATTTAGTACTTTACCTCTTGCAGGGAATAGTTGTTCATAATCCTATCCTTTACGTATTTTTAAGTCAAGAACGCAGGCATTCTTCATACATAAAGATATTTGCTGATTTAACGCCAGTAAAATGCCTTTGAAAGTCGGGTGATCCCTGGAATTCCGTTATATTCCACCACTCTCCAGATATTTAAAGCAATCTTCTTTTAATAGTTCTCATCATTACTGGACAGCTAGGCATAGTCCAATGATTGTGAGGTTTGGCCAAGGATTTGGCCGTGGCCAAGTCTTTGGCCAAGGCTTAGGATTACTGGTTAGGCTGGCTCCAACGGCTACAAGGGTAAGACGCTTCCAAATGGCGTGGTCTGATGCCATTGTCGACAGAAACCATTCCTTTTTTTAAATATTTGACCAGCATATTTGCGCTTTTGGCTGAATTCAGCCTAATTGAGGCGCATTCTGCGCATTATTTGTGCTAATTAGTTATAAAGAAGATTTGTCATCATTGACTTTCAATATTAATATTAATTTAATACCAATATTAATATTGAAGAAGCGAAAATTTTTAGGTAATAAATGATGATATAAGGAATCAAGGACACCTCGTTGCTTCTGCTGATGTGGTTGTTTTAAATAATGTCTTCAGTTTTTTCCTACCTCCAGAAGAACAAGTTTATTTTATCCTTTATTTTCCTTATTTTTTTAAAATAATATTCCGTTTATTGATTTCCTAATCAGTTTTCTCGAATTTTATTCACAGTTTTATTTGCATTTATTCATAATTTGTAATTTGAGTTTGCAAGTTTTTTGTTGTTTTTAAGTTCAAATTTGGAAAAGTTTTAATAGAAATTTAAGTTTTTTAGCAGAAATTTCGAAAAAATTGGGAAAAAATGTAAAAATCTTTTGAAAAAAGCGAAATGAAAGGGAAAATAAGGAAAGAAAATTTTCAAATCATAGTAGTCAATTTTTTTAGTGATTATCAATACATTTGTTGTGCTATAGATTAAAAATGGCCGAAAGGTTGTAAAATAGGAGAGGATTAGATGGTCAAATTTAAACGATTAAAGAATTTACGGGAATTTGGTACAACCTTAATTTTTTCTTAACCTGAAGAATAATTTTAAAGGTTTAGATTAATTGCTGGAATTTCCTACATCGAGCAGTTCGTCGTGGTGCTGTAATTGTTTCAATTCCCTCGATGGAGATTCTCACCGAACATTTGCAGTTGGAATTTTCTATCAGTGACTGGCTTGATAAGGTTGGCATTTTCTATGAGAAAATTTTTTTGTTTTTATGGCTTCAGTTTTTCAAAAAATTTTAATTTTATTTTTATGATTTTATATAAGATTTTTAAAGTATTGCAAATGGATCTTAGTATCATTACTTTTCCATAGAAAATTTGTTCTATCTATTTTATGATCTTCGATAAAATTAATTCATTCCTTCATGTCATTTGAATTGAATGTTCAATAAGATTAGACAAAGAAATATGAGTTCATTTGTTAACACAGAAGAATTTATGGTGATTTTTGCGTTTACGAATTATTAATGCGATCAGTTTTTTTCGAAATATAAATAATAATACAAAAATTTTCTTGATAAAATCATTGTATTGCTTATGAAATAAGTTCTACTTTTTTTGAATTCGCATTTTTTAATTTTTTTACGGAAAAAGCTTCATGTCTGAATAGTCGGCTTATCTGTTAATTGATTCTTTATTGGCGACATATCAATTTTTGTTGATAAATTTGATTCCATTATTACCATCTCATTATTTTCTTCATTTCCTTCTGTTTTTTCTTTCAATTTGCTAAATTATTAATATTATTATTAAATTTTTTTCATTGTTTTCAAATAAAATCAAATATTTCTTTTATTTTTTTCTAAAATGATAGACTTTATCCAAATTTAAGATTTATTCGTCTGCGAACTCCTGTAATATTAATTTTCGCCTGTAGTTAACTAATTAACATTTCGTCAAGTGGTCATTTATACTACTAAATTACTAAATATTATTAATATTATTAAATTATTAAATATTACCTTTTGTCTTTTAAAGGTTTCCAAAAATTGATCGTATTATGCATTCCTTGATTTAATAATATAATCCAATATATTAAATAGCCGTGAATGATAAATAGATTGAAAACGCCTAATACGATTAGGCTACTGTTGTTTCTTGTTTTATTCGCAATTATGGCAGCAATTAATGGTAACTTAATTGTATTGTTTAGATAAATATCAAATTTAGCCATTGTAAAGTTGTGGCTTAAGGAATTTAGCTGGTAAATATTCGACAAATATCGCTTTATTATTAAATATTGAATAAGCTCAACATTATGGGATGATTATGGGCTATAATTTATTGAACTAAGGAAGTCTATTACTTGGTTTCTAAATTTGAAGAAATTTGTCCTTATGAGCGATATTCTCAACTTCAATGACAAAAGGATGACTTACCATTATATGTTCAAATCTTCCGATTGTGCAGAATATGATTTGCCATTATACGTTGTCATGGAGTATTACTATGTTCTTTTATGATATAGTTTTTTTTTTCTCTTTCGATTTATCGTTTAGTAGATTATTTCCAAAATTTCTTTTTTTGGTGGCTCGAATTGTTTTTTAAAGAACATTTGTTTGTTGGAAAAATCGTTTTTTAAAAAGCTGCAATAAAGTAAATAAAGTTGTCCTTATGAGCGATATTCTCAGTTTCAGTGACAAAAGGATGACTTACCATTGTATGTTCAAAATAAAATATTGAATAAATGAAAAAATGAAAATAAAATATTCATTTATTTTGTAGATCGACAGTGGACATTTGGCCGCACGATTTGCTGGTACCAATGAAGATTTATTTGACGATTGCGTAAAAATCACTTTATATAGTGTAAAATAAAGGTGGAATGTGATTTGCATGTTTGAAGTGCATTTAAAGTGGTTTTTGTTGTTTTTTGATTTTTCCTTCGTTTTATAATAAGTAAATTTATGTTTATTATGAAGTTGCCAGTGTTATCACATATCTAAAAAATTTCCTTTAATATGTTTGGCGAATGATATAAATTAAATTATGCTAAATTATTCTTATAAATTTATAAATCGTTAGCAAAGTGAAATGATTTTAAAGATCTCGAAAGATGACTGTTTTTCTGAAATTTTTCGGAACGAAAAAAGTCCAAATTTGTTTTTCAGTAGTTTTTTAGCGAAGAAAAAGGAAAAGTGACAGAATATTAAAGCAAAAATTATAGATCTATTATTATTATTATTATTATTATTATTATTATTATTATTATTATTATTATTATTATTATTGTTATTATTATTATTATTATTATTATGGAAATTTCTTTAAAAAATTAGTAATTTTTATTTTGAAAAATTGAATAGATTCAGTAATTATTTTGCTTTCTATATATATTTTCTTCAATAAATAAAATAAGTTGGTACGAAAGGTATACGAAAGGTACAATTTTTTTTTCAAAAAGTTATACTTTGCCAATAAATTTTTGTAAAAATATATATATAATGTAAATAAAAATATAAATGTAGAAATTGAATTTGTATAAATATAAAAAACATAAATATAAACAGAAAGTAAAAAAATATATAAAAATAAATTTATGAATTAATATTTCAAAAGAAATAATATTTATAATAAATTTGATGAATTATTTCAGATTTTTATTATTTTATTTTTCTTTTTTTTCGTTGAAGTAGTTTCAATTTATTATTATTATTATTAATTACGAAATAAATTAATAATTCACATTGTTCGCTAAAGCAAAAATTGTATATTCAATTTGATATGCCTATAAAATGAAAAAATTTCTTTTCAAGAATAATATTTCTAATTAGCTTCGCTTCAATGATTTGTCGGTTTCTAGGCAAATTTTGCAGGGGAATCGTCTCTTGGCGATAGAAGCGATCGCCGAATGTGATCATTCAGTGTTGCGATTGAAACAGTCATGACACTTATTGCAATTGATAATCGTCAAGCAAAAGCAACGTTTTATATATAAAAATTGGAACTTGCTTAGCCGAGGGGTTGAAAATAATGGGAAAGGCCGTGCGTAGCGGGAAAAATCATGAGGAAGAAAAGGTAGAAAAAGTCGCGCATAATTAGTTGTTTTGGTCAAAGCAGGTAATTATTGTAATAATAGTTTTTCGTTTAAAAAAAATCTGATTTTCATAGCTTTTTATTTATTTCATTCGAGCCAGCGTCATCAGCAAATTTTTTTTAAAGATTCCTCACCATTACTGGCTAAACTCTCTTCGCTGGCTTGTCGCACTGGACAAATATGCCAAGGGGTCCCTTGGCGATAGAAATACAGATAAGTCACTAGCATCACCCGGATTTTTGAACAGATTTGCGGGGTGTGGAACTTCAGCATCGGCGCTCCGAATTGAGCAACACCCAATGAGCGATTCTGTACCTAAGTTTAGGGTGAAAGGTTACACTTATACTTTATTGAGCCAGAATAAAATGATGGCACCCCAAAAACGAAAGCAAAAGGCGGTACGGAAAGTACAACAGATGATGAAACGATGATGTGGACAGAGCCCAAGGAAGGAGATGAAATCACCCGCTGGCTGGCACCATAAATATTCTGTTTTCCAATTTCGGTAAGGACATTATTTTACATTACTTTTTTCCGCATTAAGATTTAATTTTTTTGGACATAATTTTAATATTCTTTGAAATAATTCATTTTAAATTATACTTTCATTTTTAAATAAGAATTAGAATTTTCAGTTTTACAAATCCATACAGCCATAAATTTATTTGGTACCATTTTCACATAGAAATATATACATATTGTATTTGGCACCGCTGGACACAGAAATATGCATAGTTGGCACTGCTTTGATATAGGCATATGTATATACGTACCAAATTAGGCAAATTATTAAAGAACACAGCGTGCATAATCGCAGTTTTGACTCAAATATTTTTATATTTTCAAATTATTGGAACTCGTTTATAGTTTTCTAAGCCAGCAGTCAACCACCTTTATTTGTATTATTAAATCGTTTGTTATTTGAAATTAAAAAATTTCTTAAGTTAACACCATAAATATTAATATTTCAATTTAAACTTAAAATTTAATTTACAACTTACAAAATTTACAACTTAAAATTAAAATACAAATTTAAATATTCGAACCAAAATTGATATTCAGTTAAATTGTCAGACATTTAGAGAAGTAGGCTGACGAATTTGTGAAACGAATATTCACAAAACCAGATTAGACCAGGAAATTTGCCAGTGATTGAAGCTGTTATGCCAATAGTGATAAGTGATCGACACAAGCGCAGAAGAATTCGCAAAATAAAATCTTTCTTAAGGCATAATTATGGTCATAAAAATCTCCCATTATGATACGTAATTAAGGATCATTAAAATGAATTACTGATTACGATTAATGAAAGTATTTATTTTCATTAAATCAAAATTATAAATTAAATTACATAAAAACCTATGCATATATATACTATAATTTCGAACAACATTTTCATAGCGAACATAAATAAATGAATGTTTAAAAAATTTTTTAAACGTTTTTTCATGTATCATCAGATTATCAGACTAAATTTTCATAAAAAAACAACAAAAGGAATTAAATTAAAAATAACTTAAAAATAATTTTTAATAATGACTTATTGAAATTAAAAATTTAAAATAGAACAATAACTTTCATAATATGGAACAGTCTAAAATGACAATAACTTTTAAAAAATCAGCAAAATCTAAGGAACTAAAAGAATTTAGAAAATAATCCAGCAAATTCTTAAAAGAATTATGGATCGAAGAAATACGACAAAAATTAGGATATGACAGCCATTCTTTTCTCAAATTATTCCTTTCCTAACAAATCAACTCGCATATATTGTAGAATTTAAGGCGAAAAAAAAACAATTGAAAATTGAAAAACAATTGAAAACAAATAACAAAATAAAAAAATGAACAATGAGTATTAAATATTTGCCTTATAAAAAACCTATAAAATATTAGAGCAACTAATTTCCAATTTTAATTTTTCGCTCCTAGCACGATTTCGCGACGATGACGAAAGATTACAGCAGTCTTCAGATCGAACATCCAAATTTGATGGCTCTGAAAGTTGAGGTGAATTTTGAACCAACTTTGGCAATTGGATAGTCGACCTGAAAATATCAGTCTTAAATAAAATTACGCTAACGATATGTATGCAAAGCCAAAAAAATAAATAGATGAAATATACAAATAAAAAGTTATAACAATGATTACAATATCATTTGTTAAAAATAAATGAAATCAAATTTTCTAATTTTCAAGATTTTCAAAATTGCGGCTAAAAAATAATTGATTTGCATATTGCTTGTATAAATTGGGATAATATATTTTTTTTCACTGATCCGACCAGATGAAATCTATCGTCAATAATCAGTTACACTTGTCTATATAGGTTTTGCTATAGTCTTTGACACTTTATCACGTTAAAGATTGTTAACTATTATAAATTTGGCAACACTGGCAATCTACATAGGTGGATTATTTAAATGATCATTATCACGTGATTCCATATCGTGAGTGACTAGAGATTAATCTACTCTACTGGACCTTTGCCCTTTTTTGAGGTAGGATAACTGAGGTATAATGACACCATTCTTATACTATTATACTGATGATTAACGATCTAAACAAAGTGGCTTCACTAGCGGAAGTTCGTTAAATGTGGGAAAAATGAAGATAACAAGGTTTGCTTTATAACTATAAAATTTCACATGATTATAAAGATTAATAAATCTAGATTGCAATAAAACTTTCACTCGACCTTCAGTTAATTTTAACCTTAACTTAAACTCAAATATCATAAGATTTAATGGCCTAATGTTAAGCTTAAGGTTAAGCCTGTTTATAAAACTAATTTTACACCTTCTTTATTCAACTACCAATTAATGGAATAAATTATTTCACACTGTGTGTGCCTTCTAATAACTCTATTATTTATATTTATGTACTATATATATTATTTATGTACTTATTTTATCAAAATTTCTTAATATTAACTCGCAAAAAGATTTTAAAAACTTATTATTTCTTGTCGCTCAAAAGTTTTGTTCATTGTTTTTTTAGAATCAATGTGACCTTCTTTGCCCTATTTTAAAAAATGTTGAAAAAATTAAATATTAAAATAGAAATCCAGTAGATGGAGAACTTTTATATTATCTTCTTAATTGATGAATGAATAAATTTTAAGTTTTTTTAAAGCTTGACTTAAATTGTCTTAAATGCATAAGAATTCCTGACCTATTCAGTCTAAGATGACTCTTGACCAGATCATTGGTACATTGTGCTGCCATCAACGATAATTCACCAGCCATCACGGTAGAACATATTATTTCAGCTAACAGCTTTGAATTTGCACCAGGAGAGATTTTATTTCCTCCAGCACAATCTAACAACTGAAATCAAATTATAAATTATTATAAATTATATATAATTAAACATCAAATTATAAATAAAGAAATAAAAAACTGGACAAAATATTAATATTATGGATGGTCGAATATAAAAGGTACCTGAAGGCATGCCTTTTGGGCAGGCAGAAAAGTTCCCCCACCAACAGTGCCAACTTCAAGACAACGCATGCTACATGAAATTCGCAAATCCCCAGATGAATTTTTTTCCATGGTTGTGAAACACATACTACTAGATACGACCTGAGCAACATCCTAGAAGAAAATAAGCATGATCAAAAAGTAAACAGAAACAATTTCAAGTCCATGAAAGCCCTTCAAATTTTTTATATAATTTGAAAATTTATTTGTTTTATTTGTTCAGTAAAAATACAATACTCCCCTTAAGTAATGAATGAACAAATTTTCTTCAAGCAAAAACATAAAACTTAAACATAAAATTCAGTTTTTTAAACAGATTAATCACTAACACTACTGCAAATTAATGAAGTAGTTGATGGAATTTATGATAAAATAATTTCTAACATATCAAAATTTCTCGATTCGACACAAATCATATAAAAAGTGTGAAAAAAATTAGTCCTAAACTCTTGAATTTAAGAATTCATGATACTAGAGCCTCTTAATTCTTCATTATAACAGCATTCTCATCACTGGTTAGGCTCCGTTGATTACAAGGGTAAGAAATCTCCGAGCTGCTGGGGTCTAACGCCATCGCTAGTAGTAATAGAAACCATCCCTTTTTTATCGTCTATGTCCATAAATCGCTAATCCCCACATACGTTGAAAATCTATCCTGGTAATCATTCCAGGTCTTGACTGTCCCTCCTCGCTTTTGACGCTAACCATCACACGGTTTCACAAGAAAGAAATATGCCTCCTGTGATGGACGATGAAGAACATGCCCTAACCAGTGAAGACGAATGTTTCGCAGCCATATAGGAAGATAGAATGAATTTCAGCTATATGGACGCGGATTTTTATTTTTATGGCGATTTCGCGACGGTTCCATAAAGGTTTCAACCGGGAAACATATTTCTAACTGTCGTTATCCGGGTTAGGATTAGAGTGGATCCAAGGTATTTAAAGTCGGGCACTTCCTAAACCGGCAATGTATTGATAAAAATAGGTGTTTTATCAGCAGGATTACATTTCATCATAAAAATTCAATTTATCGACTGCCTATATTTATTGATAACATTTAATATATGAACCTAATATTAAATTGACAAATTATTACTCGAATATGTATATTACGTTAATCTCACATTTCATAACAAATATCTTCTTCGAAAAAAAATATTTAATTTGAAAATATTTAATTTAACAGCTCCAATTTATTTATTTGTTTACATTTATTTGTTTACATTCATTTGCGGGTTCATGCGGATAAATTAACAACTGTAATTACATGAACCGGTTCAAATTTAAACTAGAAACTAGATAAACCATGATATATGATTTAATATATTACTTATTTAGTGGCTAAGACTTCTCATTTTTGATTAGATGTGCTTCACTGGCTATTATTAGGATGAGACAATTTCATCGGAATATCGCCAGAGGATAGCAATATAAAAACACCTTGAAAATCTGCCAGGAGTAGAGATTGGTCCACGATATTTGAAACAATAACCTATGCAATATATAAAATGACTATACTGCTTCTTAAATTATCAAATTTTGATGTGAAAATGAAATTCTTGCAAACTTGTCCAGTAGCAATAAACATGGCCGCAACAATATTTGCAGCCTGTGCATTCCATCCACCAATAGTGCAACTCATAGATGAACCTTTCTGAAGCTTTGTGATTGATAAGTTTACTAAAGAATCAACATCGGTCTTGAGTATACTTTGAACAACTGATGCAGATATGATAGCTTCAGATATCACCGATTTCCCACGGCCTTCGATCCTTTAATGACATTTTTTTAAAAACCGAGATTATTGAATTAACAATGTAAGAATTTCACTTATGCTATGATTTAAAATGATAAACAAAATATGTCAGTTGAAATTTACCAGTTGATCGCGCTTGCTTTTTTATCAACACAGTAATTTCCAGATAACGATAAAACCTCCATATCCGGGAAATTCTTCTTTAAAAATGGTATCACCGCATTTACTCCTCTGCAAATTTTAATACCTCAAATATCAATATATAAATTTGAAAACGTAAAAATAGAACATATTTTACAGGTCATTTATTAGAAATATCGAAATATCTCCTACATTTTTTAAAAAGAATTATAAGAATTTTGAATTTTTTCATCATTTATCAATCTATTCAGTATAGAAACGACACTTATAAACATAATTAGACCGGAAATAAGTAAACAGAAATAGAATAATAATAATAAGTAAACAGAAAGAAAATTTGCGCTAGAGTATTTTATATATCAATAGCATACTTCTTTATCACAGTGCTTGAAGCATACTCTGCTATATGCCAAATCTCATTGCGAATAGCATAAAAAGAGAGAAATTACAACCAGAAAATGATAATATCGTACCATAAGGATTGCAAGTCTTACAATATATAGCAGAGCGAAAAAAATAAAAAATGTTACATGCTGTTAGAAAAATTAAGAAACATACTTGGAGACCATATTCATACCCATCGCATCTCCTGTGGACGCAACAAATCTCAAATATAATTCTCGATCATTTGGCAAAACTTGTAAGTGAATTAGTTTCGCAAAGCTGAAAAAAACAAACTTTTCAAATAAATAAATAAGATACTGTAAAGAACGTGAACTTTAAAAAAATATTCAGCAAATCTAAAAAAATGGCAAATCTGAAAATATTAAAAAAACCATTGTGAAATGAAATCTCACTTGCTTGTTGATTCAAAAATTTTTTTTATTTCCTTAAAATTAACTTCTTTTGCCAGCCATTCTTTCATTTCACTGAAAATGAACTGATTAAAGAATTGCTAATACAATTTCTAATACAAGAATAAAGGCCTAAATTTAAAGCAACATCATTTATAAAAAAGCAAAGAAAAACAATTCAACATGGACAAAATTTTCAGAAAAAATTTACACGTACAGTGCTCGTAAAAATGATCCGAACTGCACGACTGGAGCACGCGTCATTCCGTCAGCATAAACTCGAGAAACAGCTCCTTTTCCAGCACTCTATATATAATACAAATGATTACTACAATAAAATTTGCTAAAAAATAAAATTTGAAATTACTTCATGTAATTTCAATTAATGCAAGAAAAAAAAACCAATTTTAAAAAAAAACTAATAAAAAATTTACAGAAATCGCACGACATCCACGACTCACACTCGCCACTAAAGCACCTTCAGTCGTTGCCAATGGAATGCAATAATTACGACCGTTAACAAGAATCGGTCCAGCAAATCCTGTAGGTACAGGCATATACCCAATTACGTTTTCGCAACAAGCCCCTTGAACCTGCAATTATGTGAATAATTTGCATCATTTCTAGTTAAGCTCGCAAAATGGATGACTTTATCTTTTTTTTCGACTTTTTGCAATGGCGGGAGTCAACTCTTAGTTGGGACAGTGGCATTACAATGCATACAGTAAATATTCAGCCGTAAATAAATCACCTATATATTATACTATGTAATAAAATAATTAAAATAACGATAATAAAAATAATTCATAAATTAAAAATTTATAAAAAACATGCCGAGCTAAATGATCAAACAAAATTAACAGATTTCTTAATATAAATACGATATAAATAAATTTGTAGTAAATTGGCCAATTAAAAATCACCTTCACTATACTTCACCACATAAAAATAAAAAGAAAAACGCTGCCTAAAAAACCATGAAATAATAACTACTAACGAAAGAAGATTTCGACTATTTTTCAGATTCGACCTACAATCAGAAATGCAATAATATAATGAAGAATGAAACAGAATGGTCAAACGGTACAATTTCGATTTTTTTTTTAAGAATTTTCACCATTACTGGTTAAACTCGCTCCGCTGGCTTGTTAAATTGGACAAATATGCCAGAGAGTCCCTTGGTGATAGAAATACCGATGGGTCGCCAGCATCACTCGGATTTTATTCCCACTGGGAATATAACTTTACTATGGCGCTCCGAATTGAGCAAAAACCCACTAAGCCATCCTATCTCTATGCAATTTCGATTAAGCAACACAGACTTGATTTGATTTCCCTAACTTAACGGAAATAAATCTGCCATTGAAAATGAAAACGGGAGCATATACTTATACTTATCTCTTAACAATTCTCTAACAAAAGAACTTCATCCTAATAACTAAAACATTAAAATAATAAGAAGATACCAAAGAATAATCATAATGTTTGAATGGCACATCATCGATTGGTGCATCCGTAAAATTAGAAATATAAGACCGCCGAAGAAAAATGCAACGCATAAGATCACCATCAAGGAACGTATCAAGATTACGAGGCTTAAGTAATCCAACCTTCATTAAATGGATTATTTCTCTGAAATAAACAAAATTATATTAGAACATTTCCCAATAAGACAATAAAACCAATATTAGAGAATTTTCCTTTTTTTTTGTCGATGATGAAATAAAATTCAAGATTAACTAACCTATCTTGCATTTGCTTAATATCGTAACCATTAAAGCCATTTTCAATTCTTTTCATCAAATCTATATTTTCGTTCTCACTTAGATTATTACTTTGATTGCTCGGAAGAGGACCGAGATTAATGAGATCTGCCTGTGCTTCGAAATTTTTGCATAACGACTCATCGGCCATTAATCCTTCGGGTGGTGAATCATCTGCCTCATCCGGTACAATTTCATCGGCGACACAACCTGAAAAATAGAAAGAATAATAAATATTTGCAATTTTTATTTATCGTACGATCAAAAGTTATAATTTTCTTTAACGAGTGAAACTTTTTAAAGATCAAAAGAAATAAATTTCAAAAGAAATAAAGAAATAAATTGACCAATAAATATGATAATAATTATTTTAAAAAATTTTATCAATATTTTTCATTCCTTCTCTTATAACAATGCTTAACAGTTCTGGCTTGCATGGCGCGCTTTAATGATAAGGAAAATTTCGCTATTTCGCTATCGAACATTTTTTAATTTACGAAATTTATTACCAAACAATGAAAATGTATAAAAAATATATATCACAAAAAACTAACCAATAGAAAATATTGGCTTTTCGATAAGAAAAATTTCTTTCAATAATTCAGCAATTTTATTACTTTGTAATATTTGAAAAGATTGTCGAATTTCTTCTAATAATTTCTCTCTCCAAATTTCTCCATCATCAAACGGCGTTTCACACAAGAAATTTTTTATTTTATTAAATATAATTTCAAGATCGAATTCGAAAGCTTTTCTCCATTTTGTTAAAATAGTTTCACCCATCGTTAAAATTGTTTCTACCATAAATTACCTAAAAAATAATTTTTTTAAATAAACGCTTAACAAACGCTTCTGTTATTTAAGCAATAAATTTTTTTTACATCTACTAAGCGCTAAAAAATTGACCAATAAATATGATAATAAATTTTGAAATAAAACTTAAATTTTTTACAAATACAAAATATTAATAAATTTGAGAATTTAATTCCTCAAAATAAAAAATATAATAAAATAAATCCCTGTAAATTCTATAAAAAGAAAAATTCTACAAGTAAATAATGCTATATTCATAATGGTTGAAGAACCAACCATTAAATTAATAAAAATTATTGCAATTTTTAAAGCAATGTAGATTCACGCAGATTCGAGGTGACCCATAAAAGTACTCGCAAAACTAATTCTAATTCCTTTCTTGTTCGCTTCCAGAAAAGAAAAGAAATATCGCTTTCGCCATCTTCGAAAATTACATACTCGAACTTAAGCCATGCGATTTCACCTTCTCATCGGTCTTGTATCACTTATTTCCTAACCAAAAATTCGCTGGAATTCGCTACAAATTTCATGAAATCCACTAATTTCTCTTTTTTTTCTACTATCACTGATTGACAGAGTGATAGAAACCAACTATGAAAAGAAGAGATCTACGAGTTAGGCGCGCTTATCAGAGATTCACTTGGCGAAAGAAGTGAGTGATAGATGAGACGTCAGCATCGCCCGAATTTTTGAAAGGATAACTGTTCTTATCAGCCAACAGCAAAAGAATATAAATTAGCGCCACAAAAATGAGAAACAATAATTCATTGAGTCGTATTTATAGGTTAATTTTAAATAATTTTTATATATATTTTATAAATCGTTTAAAAATTATGAAATAAAATGAATTTTGAGCGAAAAATTGTAAATTTCCTATTATAATAAAAATTATTATAATTATTCATAATAAAAATTAAAGAGTTTTTATTTAATTTTTATTTATTTATTATAATTTTATTTATTTATAAAAAAAGGTTTAAATGTTAGCAAATAATTTTTTGAAAAAAAAACAAATCGACAAAATTTATTTAAACCTTTAGAGAATTTTTAATAAAAAATTAAATGAATTTTAACTTAAAAAATTTGAAAAAAAAATTTTTTTTATTGAAAAAAAGAAATTTAAAATAAATTTTCGCCTCGTTTTTGTTAAATTAATTAATTTGCTTTTAAATTTTATAAAAATGACAAAAATAAAAAATAGAAAAATATAAATTAAAAAGAAATAAATACAAAAAACCATCAAAAAAAAAAAAAAACGGTGGTTAAATGATGCAATTGTTTAAGTCAATGATGCAAACAATGAAAATAATGCTTCTATTCAACTGACAGTTAGCAAATCTGATATCGCAGTGCAGCTTATATTTGTATTAGGTAATGTACTTGAATGAGGGTTTTACAGGAAATGGCGATTGGTTCTTTATCAACTATGAGGGGAAGGGGGTTGTTTTTGCATCTGCTATATTTCATTATTTCCTCAGCACTCGTTGTATATTGCAGGAGATAATCGACTGGGTGTAGGGAGGGAGTTTTTACAAAAGGTAAATTTTGGAGAAGATCGAAGGGTTTCGTGCGATGTGATTTCGCCGCCTTAGGCCGCGATTTCACCTTCGCAGAGAATATTTGTTTGTTATAGCAAAAAGGCATGAGGCGTGAGGCATGAGGTCTAGTAGCTTATCGGAATTGCTGCCACATCAAACATAGCAGGGCATTGGGAAGTTGAGGCGATATCTCCGTCAGGTTCCAGAGAAAGAAAGTGGCGCAATGTTAAGGAGGATTCTAGGGAATATAGAGGTTTATAGGTTGTGAGGTTATGTCTTGCAAATCACTTCCTCTCCAATCCTTTAACCGAGTCGCAGGTTCAGACTTAAACGATAAACTAAGGTCTTTTCCGCTAGAGTTTAAGAGCAATTATTTCATTTACAGAACTCATAACTTGTGTGGTTCAGTGGGTTGTTGCTCAATTTGGAGCAGCCGAAGCTGCAGTTCGATTCCCCGCAGGAGCAAACCTATACAAAAATCCGGGTGATGCTGGCGACTCACCTCTATCGCCAAGGGACTCCATGGCATATTGCTCAATGCGACAAGCCAGTGGAGCGAGTTTAACCAGTAATGGTGAGGTCTTCTTTTGATAAGATCAGAGAAGTGCCTTTTGAAGCCTTTGCAGGTGTGACTCGATCAGGCACAGCAATTTTTTCAATTATTTTGAGTTCTGTACTCGTAGCAAGGTACCAACTTTATTCTAACAATCCGGTAATTGGAAGCATATTAGATTTTTGTCTATTAATGTTTGTGGGCCTCGATATGATTCGAACATTGCTGATTGTTGGAAATAAATCAGACAGACAGGCAGGTGAGCTTATCCCACTGCTTCCAATTAATAATTTATTGTTTATTTTTTATATGGTGCGTCGGACTTCCAGAACCACAGTATTGGCTATTGGCATTTTGGACTCGAAAACTATCAAAAAGTCTTTAATTTTTTAAAATTGATAATTATTTGGCTAAATTAATAATCCTCAATTTTATCACCACCGTCTGATTTTCAATTTCGAAACGTTTCAAATCGTTATTCCTAAAGGCAAATCTAATCCCAATCAAAGGCAAATCCAGCACTTTCTTCTGCAATGCTTAACTTCAAATATTATTTCGTTTAACTGTCGCAAAAAGCGAACACAAAAAAAAACATACAATTAAGTTCACCAAATAAATGCTGTGAATCACCATTTTAATCTAAAATTCCATTCCATTTCCTTTTTATATCAAAAAAAAACTAATTTACTGTACAAAATTTCACTACTATCCGAACATAAGCAAATAACTATAGTTTTTGTTATAAACATCTGTTAATTATGCGCGCCATGCTATTCACACAAAATGGTTTTTTGGTTAATGGAAATAATATATATATATATGTGTATGATATAGAGCATTTTGTATTCTGGTATTATGGTATCCTTTGGTGTTTTTTTGGTATTGGGTTTTGAGTTTGAGCCTTGTTTATATGTTTAGATATATACCTTGAGTCTGCTTCATGTATATATTCCTTGATTATAATTATGTATGGAAAATTTGGCTCCTCTTTTTCTTTTTCTTTTTTTCATATTTCATTTTAATTCTTAATGTTTAAACTATTCACAACTAATTTTAAAAGCAAAAATCACAAGTGTTGATTTAGATACATCAATGATAAGTTTAAGCTTAAAATTAAAAAACTCTTATCTCTCTCTCAATTCTTCCTCACTCAACCCTAGCAAAATATTCAAACAATTTTGATGTCGTGTCTAGATGGAGAGGCAAAACAACTGGTTGAAGGCTTCCCAATTGACAACCAATCTTATAAGGAAGTTTGGAAAATCCTTGAGATCAATGAGATAATTCATAAATAATTTTCGCAAAAAAAAATCATGAATTAGAGCAGTTTCTCACAAGAATCATAAGATTGGATTTGATTGCTTAGAGCAATCAAAATCTTGAAATATTGAAAGAATCTTGAGATACATGACGAATCTAGGCGAAGATGTTAATAATGATAATAATGTTAATAATTCTTCCATTTTAATTCTTATTGAAGTCAGATTACCAATAAGAGTCGCTCAGGAAAGAATAAAGT